TCTTATTGTTTATTGTATTTATTTATTTATTGTATTTTAATTATTAATCAAAATATTTCTGTTGAAATTTTATCCTTGTGGTATCGAAAATGGTATCAAGTATCGAATATTTTCCTTAGTATCGGTATTGAGTTGAAAATTTTAGTATCGTGACAACCCTAATGTGTTATAACAACAACAATGTAATCAATGCATGTATATTACATGTAGATCACCAACTTAGCACTTTTGGCACATCTGGATTATTCTGCTCCATTATCACATTTTTATTGTGATGGGTTTGAAAAATTTTATATTACATAATTTATTGACTTCATTGAGCCTTTATTTTCCCAATAATAAGTTACAGTAACCTACTGATACTATGAAACAGTCAGTGTGTGTCAAAGTGATGAATTTATCTTTATTTTACAAGTCTTAAGCCCCCCTGAAAATGAGAAACTCCTAGTAGTTCAATGGTGTAGTGCAAGTATTTTTTACATTGCGGCCGGTCTAACAAGGGCGTACCAATATGGCGGCCTTTGGCTTCACTTCACCCTGTACTACCAGCGGGCAATCAACAATCCTGTGGATAAATAGAGATCAGTGCATCAACCTTCATCTGGTCAGATTTTTTTTCATGACTGCATGATTCATTTAAAATAACTACTAAAACTAATCAAAGTTATCTTAATTTTTTTATTTTAATAACACAAATAGAAAACGTTTATAGTCAAAACTTTATTTAATAAAGTTAGTCGGGATTTAAACGGGATTAATATCCTGACTTTATAATCATAAGGAAATATTTCTATCTAATGGAAGCTGTAGACAGTGGAGACACAATGAAAGGACTATAAAATCAATCTATAGAAGCACATAGAGAGCAACCAGTGATCTCTCCTCCTTCAGCGCTGTCAGCATAGAACCATGCAAATTTAATACATAAATATATAGGGATCTCACTCCACCAGCTTAAATCAAACTGATAAAACAGTTTTAAACCACAAGCTTACATTTGGGCAGGCGGCTCTTGGGAGGCAAAGCAATGAAAAAACGTAAACAGTCAGAATAAAAGTGGTTTCATGTTTAATTTTCTTTTTTTATTGATCTATTTCACTGCGTGTCATCCTTCTTCTCTCTTAAATCTGCCTTCAGTCGCCCATTACTGTGTTTGAATCCGTTTCAGGTAGTTGAACATGCCTTCTCTGAAGTACCAGCCTGGGGAAAAGGTGATGGGCCGCTGGCCCGGCAGCAGCCTGTACTACGAGGTCAAGGTGCTCGGCTTCGACTCCAAAAGTCGCCTCTACACTGTCATCTACAAGGACGGCACTGAGCTGGAGCTGAAGGAGCAGGACATCATAGTTAAGCCCAGCCCTGCTGTTACTCTTTGTTTTCTTTAAAAATGTCCTCCTCTCCTGGATCTGGGTTTTTTATTAAAACTGATGTTTTATTGTTTTTTGTTTCCTCTCCGTCCTCCATCAGAGCTACCTCAGCTTCCAGGCGCGCACTCGCTCTCGCTCCAATTCCCGTTCTCCTGGACGTCGCCGCAGCCGCTCCCGCTCCCCTGCCAGGACCACCCGCCGCTCGTCCTCCCGTACAGCCGCCGCAGCATCAGCAGCTATCACAGAAAGTGCTCCGTCTTCTCACGGTGATGCAAAGCTCAAGCGCGCACCGGAAGTCAAGCTCAGCCCTCTGGTGAGGCGGGGAGGTCATGCTTAACAGCATCTGTATTACGTGTCCAAAACCAGCAATACCTTCATTCATCTTGGGAAAATGTCTGGTCTGTCCCTCATGTGGTGTTTTTTTTTCTTCTCCATCTCCCCTCTGTCTGACAGCCGCAGGAGAAAAAGCCAACAGAGAACAGCAGCAACAATAAACACGAGAAGAAAGAGGAGAATAACACTGCTAGCAAAGAGATTCAGGTGAGTTATGGTTCATATCCTGGAACAACGTCCACCTTGTTTTTCCTGAACGCCAGGCGGGGCAGCCATGTTGGGGTCCCTTAGTTAGAAAAGCTTTGTGTGGACCAGGAAACAAGACAACAGAGTTTGTAGAGCAGTTGGTGGTGAGTCCTCTGCTGGAATGTCATGATGTGAGCAGGTTGATGGGGGCCTTGTGTGGTTTCCAGCTGAGAGGCTCCTCTTCACAAGACTGAGCCTCATTGCTCCATCACATGGTGGAGCAGCACGTGTCTTTCATCTGCAGTCTGTTCACTGGGATCAAGTTCAGGTTCTGAATTAAAACTGAGCTCTGCTCTTCCTGCAGGATGTCCAATAACTAATCTACTTAAAGGATCCTTCTCTGTATGTTCTAACCTGTGGTATGAGGGTAGCTGTGTCCAACCAGTCAGATACCGTTTTAGCATTCTTCCCTGCTTAGTTTGTCTTGGTTTTTTTTAACCCTATTTTGGGGGTTTATGACGTTCTCAGAGTGAAAACTGATTCTCAGTCGTTGTGCAGCCTGACGCTAAGGCGGAAGCAGATCCAGAGAAGAACCTGGGCCGCTACAACCTGCGCCGCAGGAAGGACGATGGAGAAGCCAAAGCAGCTGAGGCCAAAACAGAGCAGCAGGTCAAGGAGGCCAAGGCGTCTGCGGCGCTCGCAGTCACAGGCCCCACCCCCGCCTCCCCCCGACTGGACTTTGGAGGGAAGATAGGTGAGTTACACCCAAACATGTTTGTAAGCCCACTGTAGTCCGGTTTAGTTCTGTTGGCAGTTCTGATCTCACTGATGGATCACAGGACGTCTGTAGGGACGCTGGCTGCACCGTTAACTATGCAGAGGATAGAAACATTTCCTTCCTTTTTAGAGGTTCGATGAGCTGATTCAACTTCATTTACCATCAAAATGAAATATTTAGTTTGCCGTTCAGCTGGAAAAGATCACATGGTTCCACCCATTCATGCTTTAAAGCTTGTTATCAAAGTACTGAGTGTGCTGCTGCTGCTTTACAGATGGAAATCTCTGGGGAAAATGGCTGAATCTGTGCCTGCCCTTATAAACCACTTAGTGGCGTGATCAATTTTAAATAAGCTTGATAATTTCCCTTTACATGCTTGTTTGTCTTCCTCTCTTTCTGCTGAGATGGTTTCGCCCACTGCTCAACATTACAGCTAACATGCTAACAATCATCCAAAGGATCATTTGTTTACAGACACTTTACAATCCATTGTATTTATTGGTTTGGATTTTCTGTCTCATTAACCTAGAGGTCACCAGACATTTTAGGTTTTTGTTAATTATACCTCAGTTTAGGCATTAACTTTAGGTCTGGTCATAATTTCCTCTGGTCTCAATCATCTAATATTGTAAAAATGACGCTTCTATGCAGCTGAAGAAGTTTTTCTCGTCCCTAGGAGCCTTCTTCTGGACGCTCTTCCTGCCGGCCTGGGTTCTGTTTCTGCTCCTCCAGGTCAACCGGAAGGATCCCAGTCTGGCTAACTTCCCTCCTCCTCTGCCTCCTCTCCAATCCTTCTGGGATCCTCAAGCTCTCGGCTTTGTTGTCCTCTGGATTTTATTCCAGGCTCTGCTCTACGTTTTGCCTGTTGGAAAGGTGAGTGAGAATAGCCGTGTCCTCCTCTGTTCTGAGCGTAGTAATTAAGTAACCCCTGCTGGCTGCTCGATCCACGTGAACCAGCACATGACCTGTGTTTGCTCAGTCAGGCAGGAGGTAGAAATTGGATTAATGGTCAGGAGTAACACTTGGAGAAGAATGGAAGCTCTCATGTTAACCCAGCTGCTCATCTTTTAGATGCTAATCAAACATCTCTGCCTTTACTGTCTAGTTATTTTCCTTCTATCTGAATCCCTTTTCTCTGTGTCTGTAGCTGAGTGAAGGCGTGCTGCTGAGATCAGGCAGAAGGCTCAAATACAGAACCAACGGTAAGGCTGCAATGATCACACTTCGACTGTTTCACAGATGTTGGCTCATTAGATGCTTTCATGTGAATGGTTTCATAGAAAATCATGTTTATTTCATTCAGTTCAGGACACCATGTTGCTTTTTCACTGTAGAAACCATCTAGATTGTTTTAGGACGATCAGCATCCACCTGGTTTCCTTTAATCAGCTCTGATCAGCAGGAGAGGAAGTCTGAATTTCTCCTTCCTGGTTATTGTTGCTTCTTAAATGCTTGAATCCAATTTTCTTTTCAGTTTATCCAAATAATAAATAATCAAAAATGCTCAGAGACCTGTACTGTAGTATTGCCTAAGATACAAAAATGACAATCAAAACTTTATGTTTACAAAAACTTGCTTGTTCACAGTTTCATATTTTTAGCAATTTTTTTTACAGAAAAACAAAAGGGTCATACAGAAAATATTGGCCTGGAAAAGCTGTACTAATGCTTATCTGAGGGTTGCTGTTGGTCTTTGAAAGTTTGCGAATTTCTGAATAAAAAAGTTCAAGGCTCATGCTATTTTTTGGAAAATGGTAATAAAAGGCATTCGCCCGTGATGACGGCAGTCAAGATGATTTTTATTTAATCTTTATCCTGTAGTGGGTGACGTGTGCAGAGCAGCACATACATGGGCTCTTCTCCTGGGTGACTGAATTACCAGTCATGTTTATTCTGATTTATTGGGTCGGCACATAATGCCATGTCTGGAAAATTGTAGGTTGTATAAATTGGCAAATGAAGTAGTTTTATCCTGAAAGTCGGTCATTAAATGTGAAACAAATTAAGGGGACGCTGTTCTCTACATGTTGGTTCTGTTTGGTCTCTATTGGACTCGGTAATTAATCGCATTATTCAAATCGCAGAGGCCCTCAATTTTAGTCACCTTACATTTACAGGGTAAGATAAATAAGTTAAGTCAATTTCTCCATCCAGCCATTCAGGTGGCAGTAATATGCCTAAAAAAGGGAAGCTCAGTTACAGAAATAAGGAACTTTTTCAACACAGTTTACAGTAAAGTCATGAAAAAACTGAAACCCTCAAATGAAACATCTGCATATTGGTGCTTAGTTTCAGGGGGAATTGCAATAAAATCGCAATATTGGTTCAAATTAATCAGAATTTTGGTTTTTGGGAAAATCATTCAGCCCTAGTGTTCAATAATGGATGTCTTTGAAAGATGCCTCCAGCTTTAAATCAAGCAGTTTTACAAATTGGGACCAAACCCCTCCGAACCCCTCACTAGTATTTCTCTGAAGGTTAGGGCCCTGTCACACCTTGCTGATTTATCCAATGTATACCCGGCGTACCAGAATCTCATAAAATGCTGACATTTGGGCGTATACATAGAGTATTCATAACGAGTCCAGAACTTATGTACAAGGACAGCCTCACTTATGCATAACGCATGTCAGCATCAGTTAAAGCTGCTCCCCTCAAGAGCAGTGATGCGCCAAGTCTTCATAAAAAGATTTATTTGATAACTGTGTTAACCTGCTGCTGTTTACCGCCTGCCCAAAATAAAGGAATAAAGGAAAAAAAAGGGTTGCAGTCGCAGCAGATTCAGCGTCATGTCTGCTAGGAAGTTTGGTGGTGGTGGTCGTGAGGGGAGGATCCATCAACCTTACCTTATTACTTACCCTATGATGGTGATGAAGACTGGGGGAGAAGTTACTCAGAGGTTTTGGATAAGCTAGACACCACAACTTATGAGTAACTTGCACTTAACGTATGTCAACCATCAGATAACTTACCTGTAACCTATGCCCCATATATGGAATACGCTGGAAATTTTGAGCATTCTCAAAACTTCTGGACATACTTGCCGTGTTTCGACGTGTGTCAGCGTGCTTCTGCGAACCCATAACTTATCCAACATATGCCAGCGTTTTTGCCAGATTTTCCGTACGTCAGGCGCACGCCGTGTAAATCATCAAGGTGTGACAGCAACATTTTCTTTAAATAAAAAATGTTGTGTGATAGATGGAGGTCTTGTCTCGTAGTTCTACAGTTCTTATTTCTATGGCCGCTTCTGAAGAGGTCTCATTCTGGATCTGCTGATCTTGAATATTTCCTCCTTGCTGAGCTGTGAGTATTGGATGTTGGAAATCAGAGGCTGAGATGATAGTTTGATCTAGCCTGAGATTTCCAGCACCTCTGAGTGTGGCTGTAGTTCCAGTCGAAAAAATCAGCACCGCTAACAATGAAGTCTGCTGTGTTCCTCCCATTAGCTTTTCTGAAACCTTTTCCTGTCTGCTTTTTGTTGTCCAGGTTTTTTTGCCGTGCTGGTCAGCGCTGCAGTGGTGGCAGCAGCAGTGTACCAGGGAGCAGACCTCACCTACATCCACAGCCACTTCCTGCAGCTGACCACCGCCTCCTTCCTGATCGCCATGCTGCTCAGCATCTATCTGTATGTGCGCTCTCGCTCCACCAGCCCTGATGAGCGGGCTCTGGGAGGAAACTCTGGTTAGACATGCTGCAGACACTCAAATCCAGATTGATGTTTCTAGCGGTGATGTCATCAACTGTAAAGTTTGAATCCTGATTATTTCTCCAGGTAACATGATCTATGACTTCTTCAAAGGCCGTGAGCTGAATCCTCGCATCAAGGAGTTTGATCTGAAGTTCTTCTGTGAGATGCGCCCTGGACTTATCGGCTGGGTGAGTTGTGATGGCAGGCAGACGATCTGCAGCCTGATGAAGATCAGGTTAACTGTGCAAGTAGGGTCACTTATCAAACAGCTCCCCCTAGTGGGTATATTTTAAAATATTTTCATGCAGATGATTGATTATAGAGAAACAACCTCTCACTGAGTAAAAAGCTGCCTCTCAGGTTTTATTTAAACACAAACATCTAATTTCTGATCTTTTACTCCTTCTACATATATTATTATATTTCAATAATCATGTTTTATAACCTGAAATTAGAAGAGCTAATTATTCCCTTGCTTTTTATTCAGTAACAGGCTGACTTTAACTGTATGCCTGCTCGGGTAGCTAGCCTGTGCTCAGCTTCTTAACAGTCATCCAGCTTGTAGTTTATCATTTGTTGTTCTGAAACCATTTCACCTTTAACCCTTTATAAGTCACTCAGTGAAATACTTTGAAAATCCAAATTTCAAACCAATAGTGTTATTGGAATCAAGGACAAGACCTTATTACCTTTGTAACATTAAAAAATATGGATATTTTGATGGCAAAAATGAATGTCAATGTAATAACAAGAAACGCAAACTTAACTGAATATATTAAGAAAAATAACAAAAGTGCTTCTAAAAGAAATTCATGAAAAACACTGAGAGTGAAAGAAGCATATTTTCTTTGGTCCAACATAACCTTAGAGGCATTAATGCTGATACTTAGTTTATAAACCTAAATATAATTGTTAACTAGGATTATTATTTTATTTTATTATTTCAATTAGCTCTTTACCTTTTTTTTTTTTTTCTTTTTCACTTTTTTTTAAACTTAATTTCCAGTAGGTAATAATATCATTCAAGGGCTCATCTAATTGGTCAAATACCAAAATAAGATGTACAGCCATGTAGCAGCATCTTTGCTGAATGGCTGGATATAGATCTTGTGTTTGTAGACCTCACTGAGGGACGGGGGGGACTCCATTTGTAAGGGCTATGCAAGTGATCAAAAACGTTAGCTTGCCCTATAAAGGGTTAAAGTGTAACTTACCACAAAATCAGCTTTGTTTATCAAATGAACTGTATAAAGCAGGACTATAGGGTGTTATTTTACTTTTGCTCTGCTATTCTTCATTCAAAGTCCTGCGATATTAGTGGAAACCACCCCCCCACTGCTGCCAAGCTGGCTGAGTGGAGGCTGCTGTGGTTGAATTTTCCTATTGTTTTAAGTTAGAGTTGCAGGTTATTGATTGTTGAATTAATCTAAAGTTAATTGATCTTATGGATCAACTAACAATTAACTGATCTAATGATTAAGTGTTTTTTTCTTGGATCAAGAGGATCTTTCCATAGCATGGAGGGATAAATATATATATATATATATATTTTTTTTTTTATAATATTCTGAATTAAGAAATAGTTTATCTTTATTTTATTTTTTTACTTTTTTTTGCTCAACCTCTATTAAAATACCAACTGAAAAACAAGAAAAACCCATACTGCATAAAACATAAACGAAATATGTGAAACAATTATAATTTCCAGCATACAGAGATGTAGATCTATCAGTAACAGACAGGGTATGTCGCTCTGATATACTGTCAGACTTTACTTTTAAAGTCTGACAGTATATCAGCATGTCTTTTTCTATCGTGCTTCATTAGGCCAAACATATGTAGCATGTTAGAAAAAGACATGCTGGTAATTATCACGTACATCAGAGGGCATCGCTTACATCAATTAATTGGATGGAAGGAAGTTTAATCCACAGTTTTAATCATGTCCCTCCAGATTCAACGTGACCCTGGTTGACCCCCCCCCTCCTCATCAGAGGTTAGCCTGGTCAGTTAGCGCTATAGCCAATGCAAACAAAGAAACTATCCACAATCAAATTCAAGTGCATAACTCCCACCATTCCAATATACAATAATATCTGATGTTCGTCAGCATTTTTGCCATTTTTGTTCGTCAGGTATACACTGGTTTAAAATTGTAAAGATGTGACAAGGGCGTTAGCTTCATTCAGACAAACTGAATGGCGGTGCATGTAGCTAGCTAGGAGGTGCAGTGTTACCACTATGTTATAATCCTTTATTCTGTGTCCTTTATTGTTCAGTGTTTAATCAACTTTGCCATGGCACTGGCTGAGATGAAGCAGCAGAAGCTGGACGCTCCTTCAAGTTCCATGATCCTCGTCAACGTCTTCCAGCTGCTCTACGTCGTGGACGGCCTGTGGAACGAGGTACGCCAAGCACAGCACTGAAAAAACCAGGCGTTAGATTTAGAAAAACAACTCCTGTCCTTTGCTTTCCCCCATTGAAAGATGACTGACTGTGCGTGTCTTCCAGGAGGCCATCCTGACCACCATGGACCTAATGCATGATGGTTTTGGCTACATGTTGGCGTTTGGTGATCTGGTGTGGGTTCCTTTCACCTACACCCTGCAGGCTCATTACCTGGTTAGTCACCCCAACCCCCTGAGCCTCCCAGTGCTCTCAGCCATCGTCACCCTCAAACGTGAGTGTTAGCGTAGCATACAGCATGTTTTATGGTTGCCGCTCTTTTTTTTTACACCTCTAGTATTAACGCAGCAGTGATCTATCTCTCTGTGTTTCAGTTGTTGGATTCTACATATTCAGGAAATCCAACTCTGAGAAAAATGCCTTCAGGAGAAACCCATCCGACCCCAGCCTGTCCCGTAAGTTCAGCCCAGCCTGTCCACTAAAGTTCTGATTGGTTGGCTTTCTGTTGGAACGCCACCAGACAAACATCCTGTTTTTTTTTCTTTCCTCTTCCTTCCAGATCTGAAAACGATCCCCACGGCTACAGGGAAGAGTCTGCTGGTCTCAGGCTGGTGGGGAGTGGTCCGCCATCCTAACTACCTGGGAGACCTCATCATGGCCCTGGCCTGGTCCCTACCATGTGGTGAGTAAGCTTTAACTTCCTTCCAGTGTGCTTTCTGGTCAGACGTCATAAAAGTAGAACAATGACTGATATGAAGAAAGCTTCTTCTGTTGTAGACCTCACTTCTGCTGAATTCTGTACCATAAATTAAACCAATAACTGGGACTGTAGCTTTTTATTTACAGTAATCTTTCAGTTTGTCAGCTTTAAATGTATCCAGGGAGATTTTAACTTAAAAGCTGTTTAATTTCCTTCAAACTGTTCAATCAGCTGTTTAGGTAAAGCTTTGATCAAACAGATGAGAAGATTTTAGTCTGAGACTTTTCATCAAACTTCTTCTCTGCCTTCCTCTCTTTAATGACTGACACGATTCGATTTAGAATCGATTCTTGGGGTCACAATTCAATTGTTTTCCGATTCTTTTAAATCCAAACGATTCTATTCAGAAACGATTAATTTACGATTCAAAACGATCCTCAGGATCTATTCCAGTCTGCTGGCATGAAAGAAGAGTACATTTATAAAGACTTTAGAATTGTAAATGTTTTATTCACCTATTGCAATAATGTAAATCCAAGACAACATGTCTTGGATTTATCTAATTCTGCCAACAACTCTGGGTGATGTCTTTCAAGATGAGAACGGGGATTTGAAGTACTCACGAAATACTTAACTTTACCGTTGCAATCTCTGCAAATCACATGAGTCATGTCAAGCCCTTTCTCACCTGGGCCGGGTTGAAAGTGTTTCCAAATGGTTGCTTTTAAAGACAGCAGAGGCAGTTGAATTTCTTTTTCTTCATCCTCCATACTTTAGTGGCAACAAACACAGTAGCTCACACCACTCTATATATAGCCTGGTAGGCTAACACTTGCATGTCTGTGCATAGCTCACGCTGCTCATTGGTTTCGCCAAACACTACGTTGCCTGAGGCACATCCGCACCCACAGAAAAAATAGTTTTTAAAGAAAATGAGAATCGATTCTGAATCTTTAAATGTTAGAAACCCGATTTGAGCTCAAATCTATTATTTTCTTCACCCCTAATACACTGTACGATTTATTTATTTTTTTGCCCTTTTCAGGACGATTTTCCAGTCATGCGATCATTTTTCGATCGGCCCGACTATCAGCCTTATGGTGCATCGTGTAGTGAACAGGGGGTAACGAGGGGCGATCAGTCTCTCATAGGGGTGGAACGATTCACAAAATCCACGGTTCGGTTCGATTCACGGTTTCTGGTCACGGTTTTCGGTTCGATTCGATACATGTTGATTGTTACACCGAAATTCCATAAAAAATTATGAAATTAATGAAAAAATCCCCCCAAAAATAATGGATTGTAATTATTTTACATGACCCGCGGAAACCCTGGATCATTTCCGTATGTTTTGCTGCTTTGAATTTAATCATCTGGTGCATGCTCTCTAACCTGACAACAGCCAGATGCATGTGGCGGAGCGAGACATGATCGAGACATGCATCTGGCTGTTGTCAGGTTACATGCTCTCTACCATCTCCAAGGAACTCAGAGGGGAGCAGACGAAGCCACAGCGGGGGCTGTAGGCTTTGCTTTGAGCAGCCGGTCTGGAGCGCAGCGGGGCGGAGCGGGGGTTGCTGACGGAGTATGAGGGATTTCGGGGTTAGCATGACATGTTGCTGTTAGCATAAACAAAACGTGTTGCACAATGCTTGCACACTGTTGCACTTTTATCCACAACTTTCTTTCCGCCGTCATCGTAGGTCACTCTAAATACAAAGCGCTCCCATACAGCAGACCTATAAAGTGCTGCTGGCGCGTCTTCCAACTCCTGTTCTTTTCCACTCGCCATACCCACACAATTCTCCACAACAACTGATTTTTTCCCCTGCTACACCCGGCTACGCTGCTTCGCTTCTTCTTCTTCTTGTTTACTACTGGTGGTTGGCTTTGGTCGCAGTACCGCCACCTTCTGCTCTGGAGTGTAAACGCTTCCTCTATGAGAAAAAGGAGCAGCGCATGAACCAAACGAAACACACGCGAACCGAACCGAGACAGTCGAACCGAACGGTTCGGACGGCTTTCCTAAATCGTCCCATCCCTAGTCTCTCACAACCACCTCCTGATCAGGAACCGTAGTGTCGGTAGAAGATCAGGCTGTCGTAAAGTGGGCGTTGACAAATCACTGTGTTCGCAAACAAGGATTCCTCTTCTTCTTCCTCTCAAATGTAAACACAGAAGCATGGCAGGGGTGCGAGTGAAATGGAGTTCTTTCTGTTAGATTGACAGACCGTAGTAGCCACGTTTGCTCAGCCGTGTCTTTTTTCCGAAATATGTCGTTGCCTTTTCTTTTTAGGGCTTTCGGCACAAAACTACACAAATTGCCAAGGCAGCGGGTTTTACTATGGTGAGCTTCATGTTCCTCTTCTACTCGTTTGGCTTCTGGATACATTTGTCCAAGTAGCGCCATCACACTGCGGAGCTGAGTCCCACGTGGTTTTTAGACGTACAGTGTGAGCAGGTAGATCGCATCAAAGCGTTGAGCCGCACGGTGTGAGAACAAACTACTAAAAAACTGCAGGGTTTCATCATAGTGTGAGCTGTAGCTGCGTGCAACGATTGAAAAGATCGCGGAGTGTAAGCCTGGCTAAAGGAGCTAAAAGGTTCTAATGTTTTGCTCTTCCACCCTCCAGGCTTCAGCCACATCCTGCCCTGGTTCTACATGATCTACTTCATCATCCTCCTGGTGCACAGAGACTCTCGTGACATGAACGAGTGCAGACGGAAGTACGGCTCAGCGTGGGACGAGTACTGCAGAACTGTGCGCTACCGGATCATTCCCCGCGTCTACTGAGGAACCCAGAACCCAGCCCGGGCCTTTTTCCCTTCCCACCCAGTCGACTGACCCGTTTGACTTGTACAACATTTTTTTTAAACTTCATCTTTTTAAACCTTAAAATCTGCATTGAAGAAGCTTTGATGTTTTTTTTTGTAATGAATAGGAAAAAAAGGACAATTATATTTTGGACATTTTGAAGAACTGCTTTTTTAATAGAAACGTATTAGAAAAAATAAAAAAAAAGGAAAAAGTTTACAGAGGGAGGGGGGATACAAAAGAAGACGCCTCTTGTTGGAGTTTATGTTAGGACGTACTGTATATTTTTGTACATACACATTTGGGTTTTTTTATACTTCAGAGAGCAACAAACCACAGGTAAAACCTTTGACCTTTCTCTGACATACGTCCCTTTAGCGGCCATTTTTAAACTGCTCCTTCCCCAGCATGGCTGTGATAATAACTCCAGCCTGTGTATATAGTGAAGGATGATCTGTTCAGTGGAACTGTGACTCATGTTAAGACTCAGGACTCCAAGCTCAATTAGTTCATTTTTATTTTATTTTTTATCTATAGAAATCTAGTTTTTAACAAATGATATTGAGGTTTTATTAAAAATGCACTAATGGGTTTTTATTTTCTTGCATCGTCGTTTCCAAAGTGTGTTTGATTGGCTTTGCTACCTCAGGGTCTCCCTCCCACTGTCCAGTTCTCCTCTCTCTGGGCCCTCCAGGTGGCGCCGTGTTTCATAAAACCAGTGGAGCTTCTCCATTTTATCGTTTTAGAGTCGGATGGTGCTATCGATCATGAATTGGTTATAATGACCCTACAACATGGCTTCCACTATCATGGGTCGTACTTATTGTCAGCTTTATCTTTCCGGTCGGTGATTATCGAATGAAGTTCAAACAGTGAAGACATGTTAGCATTTGAAGCTTGTCCATTTCCAAACCTCAGAAAATTTTCAGCTGTAGATCATCCTACAGGTAGCAGTACATCAGCTAGACTAAGTAGTTTTGTTTTTAAATGCTGTGCTGACTGAATATCTTGTAAATAAATTTTAATCATGTGATTTATTTTTCTAAGTATAGAAGTGATGATAGTAAAATTTGCAATGTTTCTGAGTAGCTATTTAATGTTGCTTTTATTTGGGGATGTTTGTTATTAAGTTAATATTAACCACTGTATTTATGTTCACGCCCAGGTCTGCCAGGGTTCTGGAGAAAGTCTCAGCTTAGAATTGACCTGACCCTGTTTGCTAAAAATACTTTGATTAATCATGTTCTAGTGGGACGCAGAAAGTTTTGATGTACTTGGGTGAAGAGCATGACTGAATAACATCTACAGATCCAGTGGGGGGGGGGGATATCCAGTTTAGCAGCTCCATGAAGCTTGTCTGTAAAAATGTTGCAGCATCAAATAAAGATTTTCAGTATTTTCTTGTCACACCTTGTATGAATGTTTGGTTTTTTAAGCAGTTTGATGAAAACATTGTCACTGAGGAAGTCTTCATGGGTTCTTCTACCCAACAGTTGTCTACCGATGTATCCTAAAAGGCAGTGCTGACCATCAGGGGACTGCTGTGAGTTGGGTGCCCTTTACACGTCATCAGTCGATTGGCACAGACCAGACATCCATCCATGTGTATACTATTGTATCTATCCTGAGCTATCTCTATAGTTATGCTGCTAGGATGACGTCTAAGAACCCAGACATGTTCACACGTCATTTTTTGCAAGTCCAAGTCAAGTCTCAAGTCTTGAGAGCTCAAGTCTAGAGTTTGCTTGTTTCTCCTTGTGTTTTCATCTCCGTCACTGAGACGGTATAGCTTAAAGGTCGCTATTATATCTATGGAATTATCATTATCTTGAACTGGTAAGCGTTGCGTCAGTGACGTCAGTGCTACATGACGGTTTGACAGCCCCTCTGCCGCTTTTTTAATTTTTTTAACCTGTGTGCGGGTAAGGCGAGCGGCGATCAGTCAAGTTAGTAAAACAAAAACACTTAAAAAATAAAATATTGTTCACAAGTCGGAAATCGCGAGTCTCAGTCAAGTCTGAAGTCATTAAATATGCGACTTAAGTGCGACTCGAGTACGAGTCACAAACTCGAGTCCCCACCTCTGTGAGAACCACAGATGGAATAACCTGGAAAATAACCCAGAGTGGTTCGGTACTGCGCGCTCAACCCTGACAAACTGCTCTACCAGCTGTGCTTGTGCAGAAATGAGCAGCCAGTCTGTGCTTCACGCTCCACACCGATGGTTTGCTCTCAGCAGTAGGGCTCTGCCTGCTCTCTCTACTTAATAAACTATGTGGCTGATCATCCTCTGCCAAGCGTAAAAACCTCCTTTGTCTAACTCACAATTTTACTTCTTCCAGCTTAAAAGGTCTTTCATTTCCACCAAAAGGAATTTCTAAATTATATCCAAAGAAAATATTTCATAGCATTCTGTTTATTTTTGGATAAAGAGCCAGATGAAAAGGTACAAAGATCTTTGAATATTTCTCTCTCATTGTCCTCGTTTCTATTTAAATATGATGTACATATTACCTTGTATTGTCATGAAAACATTTTCTCTGTTCCCTTTAAGTATTTCAACATTTTAGTTAACATATTCATTCAATTAGGTCTGGATTGGCATGCCATTTATAAGGCAATTATATAGGTTCTATCTGTACTTTTTTATATCAAAATCCTTTGAATTTAAACCAACTTACCCCTGAGCAGCAGTAACCAAGGGACGAATTCTCAAAAATAAAGCAAAATTACCAAATTAGAAAGAAAAATGTTTTTGTTCTTTGCTTTTTTTTGGAGCAATTTTTTTTTTTTTTTATTGATCTGTGTGTAATGGATAATTCATAGTAGATCAGGAAGTGTTTGCTTTGGGATTGAAACCTTCTATGTCTAAAATCAGACATTTTCTCAGCTTATCTGTCTGCAATATTAACCAATATCTGTTGAACACACTGTTGCATAAAGTAGAGCATTAATTTATAAAAAAAGTATTTTTTAATTCTATAAATCAAAGTTTTCTGCCAACAGCAATGACCTGCAGGGCAGCAATCTATACCAGCTATTGTAGCATCTAGGATAGAGCTGTCAGTCTGGTAAAGAATCTGGTTCTTATTCGAAATTGCAAAGATTAACTTTTTTGTAACATAAAACTAAAACTAGACTAAACCCTTTTTAAGTTTTAGTCAAGTAAAACCGACTAAAACTACCACATATAGTAATGACTAAAAAACTAATACCGTAATAGTTTTCGTCCTGAAGACTAAATCTAAGATGGCTGCCAAAAACAACACTGCTTGGGAAACCCTACCAGAGGCATTAAAGCCCCCGACAACATGGCCTCTGGGATCATCAGAGCACTGAAACCCTCCACCAAGGAAGAGGAATTAGTTTTTTATGTTTTTTGGGAGTTGTCAATCTGAAGAGTCTCTTTGACCATTTCAGGGTCTGACCAATCAGAAGGCTCTGCTCAGGTTCTGGTTCTACTTGTTCCACAGACCTGTTAGAGACAGAATCAATTCAGTTTAACCTTAAAATGCTTTCTTCCTTTTTGCATTGCATGGAGATGACTCCCTATTGGAATAAAGGAGCAGGTAGAACAGACCTTTGCTGGTTAGTTTTGTCTGCATCAGCCTCCAACGCAGACTGAAAGAGACGGACTGCTGGATAGATAACGTCAATAAAAATGATGCGTAGAGGAATAAACGTAGATAAATCCGTCAACTTGATGACGATCTGTACGCATTCCACCATCTCAGTATAAACTCTTCTCAGCACGGCTCTTTTCTACAAATGACAACATTTTAATGCAGCTTCTTCCAAAGGTTCTTCCAGCGAATCTGAAAAGTGTCTTTGGCCATGTCCACATCTGACCAGTCGGAAGGTTCTTCTCAGGTTCTGGTTCTACTTGTTCCATGGACCTGTTAGAGACAGAATCAATCCTGTTTAACCTTAAGCTGCTTTCTGCATTGCATGGAGATGACCCCCTATAGGAATGAAGGAGCAGGTAGAACAGACCTTTGCTGGTTGTCTACGTCTTTCTGAGCCAAACT